GTGTTATCCTGTTAATTCAGTACTGAGCAAATATATTCCAAATATTGATCCACTTTGTTCCTTCTGTCACATTGAAAAAGAAACATTAACCCACCTTTTTTGGGAATGCTCTTTTAGCAAAGTTTTTTGGTGTGACTTCAATAATTTTGCTAATGGGAAATGCAATATACGTATTGCGCTGAATGTTAAACATGTTCTGTTTGGTTTTTCCAAGGGCAGTATGTCTGGGAAAGAATATATTATAAATTTTCTTATTCTGTTAGCCAAGTTCCACATACATGCTTGTAAATTTGCTAAAAACAAACCCAACCTCACTATTTTTAGAGCTTATGTAAGTTGTTTTTTGGACTCCTTAAAAATATGCACCAACTCTAAAGCTATGAAACTTATGACCCTAAGTGGTGAACTTAATTTGTAATCTATTTTTTTTTCCTGTTTTATGGAATTCTGTAGTTCTGTTACCCCAGTACCTCGAGCATACTAATGTCTGCAATTGTATATTCTTTATTTGTAAATAAAGTTTGTTTAAAAAAAAAAAAAAAAAAAAAAACTATTACACTGCCTCTGGATGGCTATGGTGTGCAGATGGGCCAGACTTCAGGCAATTTACAGAACTTGCATTTCAAAAACAGGGAACTGAACAATCGCATCACCCAAGAACTGTTTACCTAGAATGGTTAAATAGCCCTGAAGCTTGTTATGTTAATAGATGTCCAGACATATTTGTGTATATTAGTAACGTAATACTTAAGACCAGGCTGCCCATAATTGGTCCTCGGGGGCCACTGTCCTACAGGTTTTTACAGAAAGTCAGCTGTGGAGAAGAAGGTAAACCTCTCAAACCTGCAGGATAGCGGCCTTCGAAGTCTGACTTTGGACAGGCCTCCTTTAGGTAAATTACTGGGCTGTAAAACATGTTTGTGCCAAAAACAGCTACAACTATAGCTTCTGTGCATTCAGCTTACTCAGCCACTACAAAAATCAACTACTGAAAATATCTGAATGCGAAAAAAAAAAAAAAAAAAAAAAACTGAAGCAGATTTAATTGTTTTAAACCAATAGGAGTTGTTTAGGTCTTACATCTTACATCTGTGTTTATTCATGATATTTACAGAGTGAGCTGCAGACGCCCCTTGGAGCATCACTGCAGCAGAGCAGAGTGGACGCAGTGCAAATCAAGGCAAAAAAAAAAATCCCTCTTGCACATCGTTTCCAGTAAATGAAGTTGTTAAAGAGATTCTCCTTCTGTAAAAGACTGTTGCATCACAGATGAACAAAGGAGCGTTAATAAAGATCCTTTCTACCAGTAGTAGAAATTTTATTGTCTTTATGTTTTTTGAATACTTCTAAATATGTTATTTTTTCTGCATTAACAACTTACTTACACTGTGAATTTATGTTTACTGTACAGTACTTACTTTAATTTTCTTTTTCTCACTTTTGTGTGTATCCGCATAATCTTATTGACCTTTCACTGGTATACTTGAACTTTCCCATTGTAAGAGAAAAAGGGTATTTCAATTCTATTCTGTTCTTAAACACGTCTGTAGCTCTTATAGTCTCAGTAATAAAGTAATTGATAAAGATTTATCAATAAATTTTAATATAGAGCTGCATCTAATCTTTAGTAATGTAAAGTTTAGTGCAATTAAAATGTATAGGAAAAAAGTACAAACAACCGGCGTAGCTACAGCCTTTAAAGCATTACGTCGCAAAATCCATTCAACACTTTGGGGGGAGATTCACAAAGTAACATGTGCAGCTACTGGACACAAACTGATACAGAACATGAGCTACAACAACTGTGTACATAATATTTATGAACTATATAAGTTAGATACAAAGATACTTTATATACAGTATATATATATATATATATAGCATCAAAGATTTGTTTTTCTTTTTATAAGAAAATTATTTATCATCAAAAATCATTGGAAACTCTGAAAGAAGAGAGGAGGGACAGAATCCAGGTTGTTTTATGTGAATAAATGGCAATTTGGAGTCCCACGTTATCAGCTGGTGTTAGTCTGCTGTTTTACCAAGTCTACAGGCTGAGCAGCCAACTAAAAGGCCATTTTCAGTGACTAGACCAGTGGATTTATTGTAAAGTACATGCAAAGTCTTCTCAGTGGCTGAGATTTCTATATAAAAAGTAAAACACAACAAAAAAGCGATAATATATCATTAAACCAGTAATGTAGCTGTGAAAGAGATACGTTTCACTTTTCTAACTGATATACTGAACTTTATAAGCATGTCATTACATATTATTAAGGTACACTTGTAAGATTAAAAATATACTTTAAAATATTTGCCCTTAAAACATTGCATGTGTTTATTGGAAGATGTCTTGTTCCGACCTCAAAGATGTGTTCAACCAATGTTCCTGCTTGGTCCGTCAGCCCCTCCATACCATCATGAGTGACAGGCAGACAGTGCATAGGGGTCACATTACTCATACTTAGCATTCTGTTCCTCTTCTTTCCTGCACTAACAACATGGTGAAGTGTTTCACTTGGTGCTCCAAACAGGAGAAGGTGTGGGAGGCGTTGTGCAAAAATATAAAACACTAACCAAGCTATGGAATCCTACCAATTTGCCATTTAAAAGTGTAATATATATATATATATATATATATATATATATATATATATATATATATATATATATATATATATATATATATATATATATATATATATATTACACTTTATGTACTTTATATATACATACATACAGATGAATCACACTGTAACATTTCACTTAGCATGGATCGAACTTTGACATGGATGCAGTATTTATGTGGGTATTAAGGTCTTTGTAATTTCTTTTTTGTTAAAACAAAACTCAAGGCTATTGAGTTAACATATAAACTTGTGTTTGGGGAAGAGTCACATTAAATTAGTGAATTCTTTAATCAGCTTAGCTTCAATTTTCGAAGGGACAGTATACTGTAACTGGAACTGCCTATCATTAAAAATTCAGAGGGCAAAGGAAATTTAGGAATTTATAAAAACAATAAAGAGACATCTTGCTATGAAAATCAGTAATTTTCCATCATAGTTTCCCACAAAAAACTGAAACGAAAGTGTAAACACTAGACATGACAGCTATAGATTAGAAAGTAAGGATGACACCAAAAATGTAGATTAAGAACACAACTGCATTAAATATTTGTTAAAGAAAGTTACGTGAGACTATACACTGTAGTGCGTATTTCAAAGTCTCCCAGAATGTGGATAATCCTGGGGTAGGTCCTCTGTTGCAAAAAAAAGCAGTTTGCTCCAACATTGCACACGATGTAAGCTACTTATGTCACCATGCTTTATTATAGTGACATCATATTATGACCATAGGTACTACTTGAGAGAGCCTGGTATGAGCGGTTGCATATCGATGAGCTGTGGCATGTAACATATGCACTTGTATCAATCGGTTTCTAGAGCATTTAAAGGAGAACCACCAAAGCTGGCCTCACCCCAAGGTTATCACATGAATTGGGCCAACACAGGGTTGGCAGTTCTATTATTCATTTATTACAACACCCTTGAGAACCAGATATAAGAAATGTTTCCTGCCACCAGAAAGGCTTCAACCAAAAGGTTCTTGCCAAGCACCCTGAATCCACATTAAATCACATGTAGGCAATAGCAGGCCCCTTGCTCATAGAGACTGGTATGTGTTAAAGTCGCCAAGCAGTTTGTGAAAAGAGCCCACACCTCCAAATTGCATATAGGCAAGTTCTTTCTAAACCGGTGTGAGTATTTCAAGCAGCAAGTCTAATGGAAAGAACATTTCTCTCCCTGTTAAAGAGGAACTCTGAAATCATGTTTTGTGAATAATAAAATTAAGAAATGGGAACTGTGGAATTGGTATTACAAGTTATGAGTAAAAAATAAAACTGGTACTCCAAATGTTGCTGACTAGCTCACAATTATTAGTAGACAGCACACATTGCATCATATAGATAGGAGTGTAATGTTAGTGTTAAGTACAAATAATTAGGCAGGGTTGCAATTCCATGTGACTCTCTGCACCGCAGCTAGCTTTAGTGCATCCTGTGATTATACTGTTAAGTGAATTACAATTTTAATAGTATTTTCCTCAACACTATAAGGTTGAAAAATATGGTGAAGTTGAAGAAAGTGACAAAAAAAAACTCCCCACATTCTAAAGCTGAAGAAATGTTGTGGAAATTTGTTACCCTTGGCGGTAGCATCGAGAAAAGGATGGCTTGGAAAGCAGTAGAAAAAAATTAGGGTTGTGCTAGAGCACAGTGGCATCATTATTGCCTAAACACTGAAAGTATGTTTTCCAAGATCGCTTTTACTCAGTAGTGATGGGATTCTACCATACTATGCTGGAGTAAATAATATTAAATTTGTGAAATTCACCAGACAAAAGAACTTAAAAGTATGTTCAGACATGCAATACTGATGCATTTCATAACATTTATAACACACCAAATGTCAGCAGTTTGTAGAGCCATTTCAAGGTTCAGTCAATCATCAGTGTTCTGAAGAAACTGAAACCTCAAGAGAGAAAAACAACCTCAAGCCCCAGCAGGAAATGAAACCAGCCAATTTGCTCTGATCAAAAGGTATTAAAATAAAAAAAATAAAAAAAATCTCTAAAAGACTGATTAAAGATCACAAAGTAAACATATATTTAATAATGTTAGGAATATTCAAACATATTTTGAACAAAGGCTAGCTTCCATATAAGCTAAGTGATGGAATTTGTTTCAAGTCCATTAATGTATTAGGCATTTATAATTATATTTATCTAAGAGTGAAAATACTCTGCTGGAGATTTTAAATGTCAAGAGTAGAGCACATACCCAAAGTGCAGCCAGGCACTTTAGAAAGAGTATTTTAATATCAACTTCCTCCATAATAGATTTACTATTTCCCCCACTCTGGCTGACACATCCTGGCAGGTCATCAATTGAGATATTCCACTTTGGAAACCAAATAGACATAGATTGAGGTACTTACCCTAATGAGACCTCTGTTCCTGATGTGCTCTTTTGTGAGACTGTATTGAACGGGCACAGTGTATACATGTACCTGCAAAGGAGATAGAAAGCAAAATTCAGTTCCTGAATGAGATGGTCCAGATGGTCTTATTTATATGTCAGACAACTTTTTTTACTTAGAACATGCTTGGTTGATTTCCTCTATTTTAGGACTCTGATGGAAAGAAAAATGCTGGCATGTGCAAATATAACTGGCAGATTTTAGCCCACCACCATGTTCAGCATGAGTAGAAATGCCAGCTAATATGCATTATAATACAGAGCATTGTGTTCTCTCTGCTGGATGTGTTTGCACATCTGGTTAAAATTTATCTACAGAAATACTTGATATGAATATTAAAACCCTCTTAAAAATTGGTTTCCTTAAGAATCAATGTATTTTTTGAGAATATAGCAGTAAGTGGTGAAAAACCACAGCATAATTACCATAACACTGCTATTTCTATCTCTACTTTGCTTGTCTCGAGCCATCCTCCCTGCCCACAACTTTAAGGAACCATTACCATGATGGCAAGAAATATTTTGTAACCAGTTCCAAACAGATCTGACGTTCCTAGTAAGATCTTGACCCTGTTGTGATAAAACCTTAAAATCATGCCCCAGTGTTTAACTGCTACTTGCCTCGAGCAAAACACCAAAAAGCTCAGGACACATGATAGACCGATCTGTATGTATATAATGTCAACTTACTAAGCAGCTTGCAAAAGATGACTAAATTGCTGGCAATGGTTAGATAATCTTTGACTGAACAGGGAAAGTACATTCTGTGCTTCTCTTGGCTGACGTTTCTGGAGTAAGCTCAAACTCCTCCAAATGAGGACTTACTAAAAGAGAAACCTCTGGAAGCTCACACAAAACTTTCAGTAACTTTAAGAGCTGCTTTCTAAATACTGAGCTGCTACATATGCAGACTTGCCCAACTCTCCATTAGCAAATAAATACAAAAATATACAATGCCTGTCTAAATCCTCAGTCATCCAGGTCATAGCAACCAAAAGCATGCTTGAAACATAGGACACTGGACTCTTGCTTAGTTTTTCTTAAGATGTTTCAGCACCTATCCAGGAGTCTTTATCAATTTTGCCAGCTTAACCCTGGAACAATCTGTTATTGGAAAGCTGATGTCTTTAGACAGCATGGAGCCAAAGCGACAAAATATACTCTTGTGCCATAAACCATGATAATAGTTTGGGATATTGGGAATAAAGGTACATGCTTTATATTAACGTTATTGTTAATTGGGTTTGGCAGATGAAAGCCTTGCTCTGCAGCTGACTTTGCTCTACAGCACATCGGCCTAAAATACATAGTATCACAAGACACTCCCAAAAAACTGCACCTTTGCCCCCTGCAGTGCTTTGAGGATAAAGCAACTTTCTCAGGCCTCTTTTTTTCCTCTTTGGGGACTGCTCTCTGACCAGATTGCAGCTGAGAGACACCACTGTGGCCCCATGGCCAGGGGCGAGAACTGCAAATGACCAAGGCTAAGTGGATCTGGTGGCTGACATCAGAAATCAATTACTGCAAAAACACTTTTTGCAACATTCCTCTAAGTTTGAGGAACTTTCAGATGCTTAAAGAGGTGAAGAGAGTGAGCTAGAGGACCTTCCCTGATGTATACCCAGTTTGAACAAGGAACTCTCCTGGTGTGAGCCCGCCATGCTAAGGTGCTAATACTGGAGGAACCCAGCCTTTCCAAAACATAAATAGCAGAGGTAGAGGTCTGGCACATTTAGGGACAGATTTTCCAGCTAAACAATATGTAATTTTGATGATCTTTGGTAATTTCATGTGGTTACTGTTGAGTAAAGTCAAAGCTAACAAGATGAACCACAGGGTTCTAACTAGTTTGCTAACTAGTTTATTGTTTATAAAGCTAAAACACACTTTTATTTCACTAAGGGGTTGAACACTAATATAGCATTAACATCCATGGGTTTTATCATATGTATATTCTAATTTGATTTCCAAATTATGACCAAAACTGAATTCAGGGGAACCCTCATGTCTGCTAGCTCACAAAGAAGGTAAAGAATCAATTAACTAAAGGTTATGGGTTGCTGATTAAGCAATTTTATTAAATGAATTGCATTCATTGCGTTATTTGGCCAAAATATGTTTTAATCACCTCTTGGATTTGCATTGTGAAATGGTTTGAAAACATTCCAATTTAAATAAATTAGTTGAAAGCTCATTTGATCACATTCCAAATTCTTCAAGATAAACTTTGGTTCTTAAACATAAAATGTATGCTAAACTTATTTTATTGCATATTGCTCATTAATTATGGTTTTCAACTATGTTTTTCCTTCTTCTTTGCACACTTCAGAGCGATGGCTAGTGCAGTGCATTTGGGCTCTGAGAAGCTTGCAAGTACCCGGCTCACCAGGCGCTGCACAGTGGCAGCCCACTGCTCTCCAAGGGGATTGGTTAAATACAGAGTTAATTTCTCCATTGTCAAATTAATTAAGTTCTATTTCCTTTTTCTCTTTGTATATTTCTAGTAGCTTAGTTTGGTTGAGTTTCACTAGTTTAGTCAAGAGTTTCTACCTGAAGTTGACTTAGAGCTGAATGATTTTAGGTAATAAATGTATATTTTGAATAGGTCATCACCGAAAGAACGAGATCCCAGATACAAGTGGCCGAAATTAGCTTTCTCTGTAGTGTGTTTGGGCTCTCCTTTAGAGAAAGGGTGAGGAGCTCAGTGACCCTGGGAGGACTAGGAGTACAGACCTCCTGGAGGCATCTGGTTAGGATGCCACCAGGAGGTCTCCCTGGTGAGTTGTTCTGGGTACGTCCCATTGGGAGGAGACCTAAGGGGGATCCAGGGCACACTAGAGGGACTATGTTTCTTGGCTGGCCTGGTAATGCTTGGTATTCCCAGGGAGAAACTGAAGCTGCTACCCCCGCGACCCAAGAAAGCGAAAGAGGATGGATGGATGGATGGATGGATGTAGAATGGAGGTTCTGTTGAATTTTCTATAATTGTGCAGGTATCTATTTGACAATGATTTTAGCTTGATTAACACTGTCATTTTCTGTTCTAATACACAGCTAGTAGATGCTACTAAGAAAAGTATTAGTTTCTTCATGGATCGGTTAACTGCAACATAATCAGATTAAAGAAAAGAACCTAAATTAATTATACTGCATATATAGATACGCCAGAAACACCTTACAAAAAAAAGCTAAGTGTCACAAACTTCAAAAATTATACCAATGCTCCCTTGCCATGCAGTGTTTTAAACATTTAGTGAATTTATTTATGCATTGAGGTGCTACAAATACACAAGGAAACATGTTTAACATAAATGAATACAGTAAGATCAATACTTAGAATAAACATGTGTAGGCTGTATTTTTAAAGGGTAACATGGCAATTATTAATTAACAAGAAAAATATACAGTTAGATTAAATAATATACATATGTGCTGAGATGTTTTTTCCTCTATTGGGAACTGTGTCAGTTAGGGACCTGGGCCTTCTAAATAAGGCTAGTAGGAAATGGGAAGGAGCTGATTTTGTGATGTGATGTTCTGTACTTCATTGCCCGCAGTCTCATACCTAAGGGGAGAGTCTGAAACAGCTTGTACCCATGTTTAGAGGGGTCAGCTACAATCCTTTTTACTTGCCTCTCGGTTCTGAAGGTGTACAGTTCCAGAAGAGAATAAAGATTGCACCCCATCACGCTCTCTGCAGAATGGATGATATCCTGCCTCCTGTTCTTGTTCCACGTGGTGACAGATAAATACCAAATGGCAATGGTGGAGGGGAGGATGCACTAAATGATGAAGGAGTATACATGCACCATAGTTGTCTTTGGCAGGCTAAACTTCTTCAAATTTTTCTTTGTGATATTCAGCCCTACTTCAAGATCCTGAACAATGATGATGGAGATCAATCTCCTACGTGTAGACAGACTCTTTCCTCTTAGAGATGAGTCCAGTGAGGTTAGTGTCATCTGCAAACTTCGAGAACTTGACGGACTGGTGACTGGAGGTGCAGCTGAGGAGCAGAGGGGAGAGAAAATAGCCTTGAGGTGAACTGATGGTACTGGAATCTGGGACTTGTTTTCCCAGGTAAACATTCTACTTTCTGTCTGTCAGGATGTCTGGGATCCGCCCTTAGATGGATTCAAGCATGCTTAGCTAGGAGAGCTTGTCCAGCAAAAGGGCTGGGATGGTGGTAGTGAAACAATGCTCAAGTCCATAAACAGGATCCAGGCATAGGTTCCTGGGTAGTCCAGTTTCTGCAGGATGTAGTGAAGAGCCATGTTTATTGCATCATCCATGAACCTGTTGGCTCTTTGTGTGAAATTCAGCAAAATCAGAAGTTGTGACCAATTTAAGGTCGTCCTATGGTCCTTGTTTTTTTGGGGGGGAAAGGTATAATGGTGGAGGCTTTGATACATGCCGGCACATGCCAAGTCTCCAGTTAAATATGTATGTAAATGGAAAAGACATCTGATAAGTACAGTTTTTAACGGTGGATGGGGAAACATGTTCCAGTCCATCTACTTTGCAGGGGTTCTGCCTCTTAAACAGCCAGAGGGTGTGTTTTTGCAGTTGTACTTTCAGTCACTTTGAGAACAGCAGTTTAGCTTCTAGCACCACCTACTGTAAACCAGAGTTTGTCATTGTTATATCTCACCAAGCAATCTTCACAAAAGCTGATGTAGAAGGTTACAGCACCTTTAAACCCTTCCAAGATATTGGTAATGGTCCTGAAAAATTCCAGTCAGTGCAGTCCAAACATGCCTGGAGATCCTCTACAGGTTCACTTGTCCAGCTCTTTGATGACTTGAGCACAGGCTTACACAGCTTTAACTTTAGCCTGTATGAAGAAATAAGGTGGAGCCTCATGTGATCAGTGTGGCCAAGAGCAGTGTGGGGGATGACATGATAGGCACCACTCAGTGCAGTGAAGTGGTTATTTTGCCAGTAGACATCTCAGGTGCAGCTCTTTATCAAATCACTCTGCCTTGTTTTCTTTTGATCTGTCATGGTTAAATGAGTTCAAATATGTATTATTTGAGTTAGTTT